ATGAGTAGTTACTTTCTTCGCATGTCAACCATTGTGGAATGTCACTCCCATCCACATTGACCCTCGGCAAAACTCCATTTGCTTTGACATTTCATTTTTGGCGTTATTTTTTTTATTTGCTGCTTTGGCATTTGACAGCAATTTTTCATTTGTTAAGCTTTCGTTTATTTTTCACGTATTTTTAGATTTTTTACTGTGGATCTGTTGGGCGTTTGGCTTTTTCGGACGTACCCTCGTCAAATCTATTCACATTTATTTGCCAAGTAAATGTCATATTTTTATGACAGAGAGCGGGCAACCAAACACTCACGCACGCACACATAACACATGCCCCTCGGCTTTTTGTGTGTAAAATGCTTTTGCTCGCAAGTATTTGCAGTTTAGTACAAATTGCTTGTGTATTAGAAAAAAGCATGGGAAATCATTCTTAGCATAAAGCGTTCTTCAAAATCTCGATAAATTACAACTATGACCCAAAAAGTTAAAAGAAAAAATGTAATGTAGACCAAAGTTTACTGCTAGGCGTAGCTCTTCAATAGGTGTATGGAATATTGTCTGTTTGTGACACCACTTGTTTTCACTTACCTCTCTATTATGTGACCAAATGACAGTGGGCGGTGGCTCAGGAGCGAATTTTACAATACATGTTAAGTTGATTGTTGAACCTTTATTTATATGTAGCTCTGGACCGCCAATAACTTCAGTGATTGGTTCTGTAAAAGAGAAAAAACGCCAATTATTTTTAAAGATTTTCATTTAGTGGCGGAAAAACTGAAATTTAAAAACAGAAACTATCTATAGTCATTAAAAAATCAGTTGATGATTATTATGCCGAATTTCCACTAGGCATTGAAATGACAAAAGATTGGAGGCATTGAAAAAATGCCACGTGGAAATGAATTTAATGACTATTTTTTTTAAGTATTGTCAAGTATATTTTTTAGTGCCCGGGTTTGTCATTAAAATTTCTGCCATTTAATGCCTGGTGGAAATCCAGCATTACACACGTGTTGATCAGTTTCAATGAATTTAATATGAACTTAAAATAAATGTCTTTCGATATAAAAATTGTTTATGTGTAAATCAATTCATTTTGACAACAAATACAACTGTAGGCATCCCTGGCCATTGCAATCATGGGCTAGGAATCGTAGAGCCTTGTTTTAAGACGCTGCTATCTACTATGTTGTATGTTCGACTATTTGGCGCTAAGACACACACACACACGAATATGCAACATATAGCTGGCCATATAAAAAGCATGGATTTTCAAAATATACTTCTGCTACCTGTAATGTTTTTCTTTGACATGTATTTTTGCTGGAAGCAATTGAGGAACTAATTCGCTTATTTGATGCTGGGAAATCATAACGCTGGGGGTTATATCATTCATATATAATGATAATTTTGTGCTGGTAACTTAAAAATAATACTTTTTTGAATAAAAGGTATCCTATGACTCAGAAAGCTTGATCGTTTGAGTACTTAAAAACCCATTTCCACCAAACGTTTAACTGCAGTTAAGAGCTCAGATAAGTTACAATAATTTTAACAAGAGATGATCTGCAAGGTTTATTTATTCATTTTTGTTATCTTCCTTTCCTCAATATTTAAAGATCTTTTTTATTCATGCATTTTAGAAATATTTAAATATGTTATAGACTACTATAAAATCCTTGTACTACTACCAACATACATTGAACTATAAACTTATAAGAGAGAGATAGTTTACACTTTAAAGCCCCGCCTTCCCGGGCACATTTATATAAAGCTTAATGTGAATAATTCAATCATAGCTCAGCATCTTGAATACTGCTAATATGTGAAGCACTCCAACAAAAACTCATCAATATTTACCTACTTATAAGAAAGATAGCTCCAAAAAAGTATTTCGTACTAAAAAGAATATAATTTTTTGTTCTTTAAGCCCATTTATTCCCTTTCTTTGTATTCGCTTTATCTATATTTATCTATATCAAATAAAGAGCTTCACTCCCAGAGGCATTGCATGAGTATTCAATTTCGTAGTAGCTGATCCATATATAGCTAAAAAAATACGCGTTTCGCACATAAATGTAAACAAACATACCAGGGATATTGCGAATATTTGCATTCGCATTCGCTTATGCGAATGATTCGCATCGACATTCGCATCCGCATCATGGCCAGAGCGCGCAGCTATTAGCGGGCAGCTAACGACCACTAAGCACACAATCACAGCGCAGCGAACATACATACATACATATGTTACATGTTGTTACGATTTAACCCTTATTTAGGCGCATGGGGTCAAGGCCATTTCAAGTTGAAAAAAAATGTGTTTGAGTACTTGGAGCGTGCTCGCGCTCTTTCTAGCTTCCTAACTCCAGGCGGGGTATGTAAGTAAGTCACATGGCAGAACATCGGCGTGTACGCATGTGTCGCTACTCTTTTAAGTCCTGACCCCATGCGACCACTTCCGTAACATTTTTAAGTTTTTATTTTTGTATTTAAGTTTGAAGTCAAAGTTATGCTTTTCTTTCTTAAAGGTAACTATAATAAAGAGCTTTAATATTTATGACAATACACATTTCGTTTTATTTAGTTAGTCACGGCTAGAACCTCGTCGCGTTCATATATGTCGCTACTCGCTTGAGTACTGACCCCATGCGACCACTAATGAAACATTTTTTGGGGGAGATAAATTTTAATTTTTTTTTTAGTTTGAAGTCGAAAATATGTCTTTGTTTTTTAAGTTAAAGATAATAGAGTACTTTAATACTTTTGTTAATACACATTTAGTTTTTTTTATTTTGAAAGCTGTTTTTACAACACTTTTATTTGGGTCACTGGGGACCCCATGCGACTAATTGTGTGATTTTCTTTATGCGCCTAATTAAGGGTTAACGTTTAGCATCTTTACAGGCAAAACAACCTTTGTACGCTGCTGCATGTCATAGAAATAGAAACATGAGTGAAAGGTAACAAAATCAACGGAAATAACGTCAGTTGAGACTATTTCCCTTAGTGATGCGAAATAAAATCATTTGACGTTTTAACTTTTTCAAAAGAGAAATAAAGTCAACAAGAATTTTGAAATAACAGAACAGTAGCAGAACAGATTTAATTTTAATTTTTATTTTTTTTGATTTTCTTAATTAATTTCGGGCTGATAGTTTTTGACAAATTAATTAATCATTCCAGTTTTATTTTTTATTTTTTAATGAGTAACATAATTTCGTGCTCAAATTTCATACAAATAACACAGGTTTATGCATATTAAACCAAACGTATATATCCCTATTTTATTCGACACGCTGAATGAGAATCCGAAGTCCGTTAGTCTCCGCCACGTCAGGTTCGTGGTCAGTTGAAGGTCAAGTAGGGAAAAATTCATTGAATAAACCTGAAAATTCATATACATAAGGTTTTACATTCGCCGAACCCGAATCCGAGGTCCGTTAACCTCTATAATATCAGCTTCGAGGTCATTTAAAGGTCAAATAGGACATAAAATTTATTCAATAAAAATTAAAAAAAAAAATTGTTTTTGTTGTCACTGAAACCGAATATGGAGGTCCCTTGATTCCTCAAGGTCATCTGGAGGTCATGCCAAGGTCATCCCAAGGACAAATTCCGATGAATTTTATTGAATTTTAAGGTTTATTCAATGATTTTTTCCCTAATTGACCTTCAACT